GAGAGCCACTCTCGCAAGAGGACCCCGCTAATAGGCTCGTCCCAACCCAACCCGGACATCCAGAGCTTTTGAAGAAAGCACTTAGCCAAAAAGATGACCGGGGTGATCCATCCATTCGGGTCGAAGGTGCGAGCTACTGTAGACAGCACGGAGCGCTTGGTCCATGCTTTGGGAGGTGGGTCAAGTTTTACTCTATACGTGAAGGTGTCCTGAACAGGCTGATATTGAATGCCCAGCACAGTCAACAAATTAGGATTCTCAGGGTGCTCGAACAGATGAGGGTCTTGTTGATCCTCTCCTGGGAGGTCCCTCAATATGTGTGGGGAGTTCGACAACCACTTGCGCAACTCATAGCCTCCAGACTTCAGGATGGCAATTAATTCGTCTCGCAAGACCAGAGCCTCCTCGACGGTGGAAGCGCCCGTACAAATGTCGTCCATGTAGACCGAAGTCTCCAAGATAGAAGCTCCCCGAGCGTATCTCAGGCGCTCTCTCTCAGCGAGTTCAAGGAGGGTTCGCATGGCGATATACGGGCTGGACCGGAGTCCATATGTGGTGGTGTTCAACTCAAATACCTGTATGGGATCGCTGGGCTTCTCGCGCCACAATATCAGCTGATATCGGCGGTTATCACGATGTACCACCGATTGGCGAAACATCATCCGAATGTGCGCGACAAAAACCACTTGGTGTCGACGGAATTGGGTCAGGATGTCGGATATGTCCTTGATCAGTTTAGGACCCGAGTGAAGACACTGATTCAGGGACACACCGTTTGATGTGGGGGCGGAACCGTCAAAGACTACCCGAATCTTACTCTCAGGGGTCCTCAAGACCGCATGGTGAGGGAGGAAGTAGTGCTCATGTGAACGCCATTCGAAGTTGGACGGTGACATGTGACCCAGCTCCTGATACTCGCGCATGAACTCGACATATTTGTCGCGAAAGGCTGGGTCACGCCGCATGCGGCGCTCCATGGAAAGCAACCTCTTCTCGGCCAGAGCACGGGATTGACCCAAAGAGGGGCGGGAGTCCAGAAAGGGTAAGCGAGTGACGAAACGACCGTCAACCCGCCGGCCGGTATTGTTCTGGTAGAACAACTCACACTCACGGTCCAGAGGGTCGACTCGAGCTGCATGGGGTGGTTCCTCAATGTCCCAGAATCGCTGGACGGCGTCCGATAGGGACACGCCCACGACGGAGAGCGGGTCGGCCGTCGTAGGGGGAGGAGACCACATAACCGGTCCAAAAAAGCTGTGCCAAAATATCGTGGAAATGGCTGACAGGCCATCGGGCTGCAGAGCTCGTATCTCACCTAACAAGAGGGCACCCAGCGTGTCAGCCCCCAGTAACAAATCTATCGGCCCAGGTTGGGCCCACCGAGGGTCTGCCGGTCTCAAAGCCGACGCACAGCGCACAGCGCTGTCATTTATACGAAAATTAGGGAGGAACCCTACAATATCGTCGAGGACATTTACCTTGACTAAAATACGAAGGTGTTCGCTGTCAGGGCTGAACACCATCTCCCCTTGTCCCCTAGGAGCAGGAGGCTTGGCACCTCCGATACCTACCATCGGACGTGATTCAGAGCTCCAGGGGAGCCCCAGTCTTCCCACCAACCGAGTAGAGGCCACACTACGCTGGGAACCCGAGTCCAATAGAACTCGAACCGTTAAGTGGTCGCCGCTCGGGTTGTAAACCTTCACTGAGGCTGTCGGCAATAGAACAGTTTGACAGGTGGACTGCTGACGACTTATAGGCTCAGTGGAGGCGGCCATGGCGGGAGCTAGGGCGGCAGCCTCCTATCTGGAGCTGCCTCTGTTAGGCCGGCACCCGAACCGGGGGCCCCGAGCGCGGCACTCCAACGGCGTCTCGATGACCCCAGACTGGAATTCCCCGAACGGGCCGACCGAGGGAAACTCGGGGATCCTCGGCTCCAAGGCCCGGGGCCGATACGCAGTCTCCGGAACCCGGTAGTACCGGCACCGGCCAAAGGGGGGCGGGCGGCGTTCCAGTCACGGCCACTCAGCCAACGGGGGTGAGAAAGGTCTAGCTGACCGCTGAGTGGCCGCGAATCCACTATCAACTCGAGGAGGGGGGGTGAAGACCCCCCCCCGCCCCTGGGGGAACGACTCCCAGACCGATCGGGGGAGGGACTCCCCTCAGAAGGAGGGGCGCTGTGGTCCGCCGGTGAGCGCCGAGCGTCGCCTGACAGTGGGCGTGGCTGGGCGCCCCCGCCCGTGGGAGTCGGGGGGCTGGCAGGGCCCTGCGAGGACGAGCCGCGCGCACCCAGGCACAAGAGGACGTTGTGGTTGCCCTGGCAGTGCGTGCAGGGCCGCTGGTGCGGGCAGTCTCGTTGTAAATGCCTCTCCAGGCACGAGAAGCACCAGCGGCGCTCCCTGGCGATGGTTCGCCTCGCCTTAGCCGGCTTGCGCAACAACTTCGGGCACGACGCCGGCCGGTGGTCGGATGCTCGACAATAGGAGCGGGGAGGCGCCTCCCGGGCCGCTAGGCCACTATTGGAGGGTACGGGGGGGCGCCCTCCCGCGGGGGCTCCACTCGGCCTCAGGGGGGTGGGCGCCGCCTTGGCCGGCTGACTCCGCCTTTCCCTGGGCACCGCTCGGGAGGCGGCCGGGGGGCCCTCGACGGCGCCTGCTGCGTTCTCCAGCAGCCTGCACTGCTCTTCCAGGAACCGCAGCAGGTCCCTAAAGGGGGGCATATAAGAGGCGCCATCCCCTCCGAATCTCTCCTCAAAATGGAGCCGAAGGTCGAGGGGCAGGCGGGACAGCACTATATGAAGGAGCAGAAAAGACCACTCGTCCACAGGTAAATCCAGCCGCCGCAACGAGTTGCACGCTACGACGACTGGATTCACTATGTCTTCACGTAGTCTAGTCCGGTCCTTCAGCAGCGGGAGGTTCAGCAGCCTCCGAACATGATCGTCCGCAATCCGCCGGACGTTGGCGTACCTTCCAGCGAGGAGGTCCCTGGCGTTTTGGTAGGCGTCGTCCGACACCTTAAGGTGGCCGACGACGCTCAGGGCCTCCGCCTCTAGTGAAGCCAGGAGGTACCCCATTTTTTGGCAGGGGGTCAGGTCCCTCCGGGCGTCCACCAGGCTTTCAAACAGGCCGACGAAGGTCATCCACTCCGAGAGGACCCCGGAGAACCTTGGCAGGTCCAGCGTCGGAAGTCGTCCTAGCAGCTCTGGCTGAGCAGACGGCTTCCGCGTGGACTCGAGAAGGCTACTCAGCCGAGCTTCGCGCTCCCTCTCCGCATCCTTGGCCCCCGCCTCGATCAGGTCGTCCGTTAGCGCAAGGAACTGCTCTTACTCCGCGCGGCAAGATTCCAGGACTCCCTTTTCCACCTCCAAGTCCTCGAGCTCAGAGTAAGCCTCCTCCACGGCCGCCCTTCGAGCATCGACCTGCTCAAGCCTCTTCCTCAGATAGTAGACCCTGTCCGGTCGGCCTATCAACGCGTGTGCGCTGATAGCCCAGCGCAGCTCAGTCCGCAGGCAACGGATTAGCATCTTGGGCGAGGACATCACTACTAAATCCAAATTACGACGCGGCTCGAGCACAATTACAACAATAACAAATAAAAAATACAAAAAAATTAACAGCTAACTAATGCAGTTCCTATCAAATCGAGTTGAATAGAATGTACACAAATAAGAACCGCTATTATTAAATCAAACACAAGTTAGTACAAAGGAAAAGGTAAATCAAATTAACAATAACAAATAATAGTACGATCAAATCAAGTTAATTTAAATTACGTAAATACAAATTACCACTCTTTAGTTCAAATACAATTTACAATACGAAAGATACATAACGAAGATAGACATCAACAAAAATGCCTTGCTCGGAAATCAACCCTTCGATAAGTTACACACTACCATCCGACAACGACAATTAACCGATTACGTAAAAATAACCATCTACCTACATGACGCAATCTCCCGCTTGCGCGCGAACCGGGCGTGGCCTTTCAAATTTACCCGCTAACAACAAAGCAAGCTAACAAAGAAAGGAATTTTATTATTACGTATATAATAAAAAGGTATTTTACGTATTACGGACGGGCGTGATTGTAGCCACAAAATCAACCCAACGCTCCTGCCACCAAATTATTTAATTTTTATCAAATACTATGGTCGGTGGATCGACCGGGAATCGATCCCAGCACCGCGTTCTGCTACCAAATGGTACGGCCAACAGCTGCCCTGCCTCAACAGGATTTGGATCCTTCGCGGCCCATAGACGAAGGAGCTACGGGCAGATGCTGGTCGGGCGTTCCTACGCCGAGGGTCAAATGTTTCTAATGAACACACGAGGGGAAAGGTCACTAGGATAAATGCACTTACCTGCCCCAGGAGCGCAGACGATTCTCCTCGACCGGCCCGGCTGATGACAGTGTTGTGAGTGTATGTGTAATTGTATGTGCTGGTATGTTGACGGGAACCGATCTGGATGACGCAACGACGTCCGGGAGAAGGCACGCGCTGGTATCCCCGGAACTTTCCCCTTCTGGAGGCACTCGTAATGGGTTGTCACGAAATGGGACAGCTACTCGTAGTCCTTCAGAGGTAAATCACTGTGATAGTTGCACGCGAATTTAATCGAGTTAGTACGTTCTAATAACGATACCGTTATTGCAACGATTTACGCGGATTGTTCCTTTAGCAAAGTTAGGCGCGAAAACATACGTCCGTATAGCTCGCAAGAAAATCCTACTATATTCGCGAGAAGTGCCCCGCCGACGCGTCCGGCGGCCGGGGGGGGGAGCGGGGGAGAGGGAAGGTGCCCTTGATATCGAGGCCAAGCGCGCGCGTTAAAGACTACGTTTTTATTGTAAATTTTTCCTGCCTAAACACAAACACTACATCCCTTCCTTATGAATGAATTTTATTCAAATGAAATACAGTTTTAAACCGAGGTAATTTTTTAAATTTATTAACTTATTTTCCGAATCAATACAAAACCAATAAGTAATTAAACTTAATTTGCCTCGTTATAATCTTTACTTCCGAGACCTCCCGAAGATGATGTGGTCTCGTCCCGGATAGAGTTCCAGCTCCCCTCTATTTTCTTTAAATGTATAACGTTTCTCCGTAACCTTTGTCCTGTCTCTTCATTTCTCACAGTGATATCACCACCTACCGATTTCTCCACAACGTGCGGGGTAGGGCTAAAATTTGCAGTTAATTTGTTTGTTCTTTCCATGTTTTTTAAATAAACCTTATCTCCTTCTATAAATTCTGAATCTTTTGCTCTTCTCTTCCGGTCTCCATATTCTTTACCCTTTTCTTTTTGTAGTTTATCCCGATCCCTAATTTCTGAATAGTCTTCTTTACTATTCATATTTTTTAACATAGGTATTTCATCTCTATTTTGACGATTAAAGAAAAGTTCCGATGGTGATTTCCCTGTTACTGAATGTGGAGTAGAGTTATACATCATCAGATATTCATACAGTGTCTCCTTCAAGTCTTTTTTTTCAAGTTGACTGATTCTAAGTCGTTTTAATATGTCACGATTTTGGCGCTCTACTTCTCCATTCATCTGGGGCCAATACGGTATTGAATTTAACAGTTTAATATCACACTCAGCACAGAAGTTTTTAAATTCTTCACTTATAAATTGCCGCCCATTATCCGCATTAATCGAAACTGGGTAACCAAGGCGACTAAATATCTCTTTTAGATATTTTGTAATTTGTGCACTGTTGATGGTTTTAGTTATCTTGATTTCTTTGTAACGGCTGTAATAGTCAATTACTACCAAAAGATAATCGTTAGTTGGTAGTGGTCCCAATAAATCCATCGCGATATCAACCCACGGTTCTGCTGGAAGTTCCCGCCGTTTCATGGGTACTGTAATGTCGGAACTCGGAAGGTGCTGAATGAAGGAGACGTGTTGCTTGTACAAGAACTTTAATTATACTCCTCTATTCTATACTTAATACTAATTTTATAAATGTATATTGTCGGAGGTAAAGGGGAGTCTACAGGGCACTACACCTCCCACCGACCAAAAAATAAAAAAAAGATTAATGATTACCTTTTTTTTTTATAAACTTTAAAAAATATTTTCTTATATTTTGTTTTACATTTCAAGATACTATTATTTAATTCACTTTTTTATTAACTTTATATATTTACTTTATTCTTCGGTAACTATTATTTATTTTTCATTTTACTGCATGGCATTAAATATCATTAATAATAATATTCATCAAATAATTGTGTCTTTTCTTTCACGTACACAGCTCGCGTATACATCATTAAGAACATGGCCAATGTATATAGTCCTTTCTATGATTCTCATTTCAGTTAATAAAATAGTTACGTACGAGTAACTTAACTTAGTCATAAAATTATATGTCATTTGAGAGAAGAATTATTTCCTTCACATATACATATTTTTAAGAATCGAGGCTCACTATTTAATCATATATCATAAATAAACTATTTAAATCCCTTAAATGCTTTCCTAAAAGAATAATTTCAATATATTATAAATCTTATAATTTACTGAGGTCATTCAATTTAACCAAAAATTTAATTATTTCATTTCATATTAAGATGAACAGAACAAAGAAGTCAATGTTAAGCCACGTAATCATTTTCAATAACAATAACATAATCACATAACAAAAGACAGATCAAAATACAAATTGCGATCCCAGCTGCGTAAGCGATTTGTGACACTTTTGTTTTCAATTCCAAAGTACGTTTATGGGAAAGTTTGCGATTACATCGTATGATGTTATTATTACATACATATATGGATACGTGTAAAATAATAGATTTATTTTTATGATTCTTATTTATACATAATTTTAGATAGTTACTTTAATTTTACATCCATCAAAAAAAAAAATGCGTTATTTTTTTTTTTAATTACAATTTCTGGGAGTATGATATTTACTATATCGTTTACAGAAAATAATTGAATAATCACTGTAACACATATCAACTTTACACAACAAAACATTAAAATTTAAACATTCAAAAGAACAATTTTTGTTTTTAAGTAGGTTATTACATAAATTTAAGGTCCTTGCTTTTATAAAAGAAAAGAAAAGCTAACACTTATAATTAATACTTAATAGTTTTAACTCTTTTCAAATTGAATCTTACATTTAAATAAAATTTACTATAGGAAAAAATACATGTGATATAGAGATTCTTTATCAGATATTCTTTATTACAAAATTTTACCATAATTTTCAAAATGTTTTATTATGAATACACTTAAAATGTATCTGAAAATTCTGGCATTAAACACCTTTTAATTTACGTATTAAATATTTTACATTGCATTGTGTCATAATAAATTTACATACATTACCAAGTATTCATTATTATAAATGTTATTTATCATTAAAAGTCGTAAACGCATTAATACCTTTTTAAGATTACATGACTCCTAAGAAATGTGTTTATCTCATTTGAAATATAGATTTATGAAAACATAGGTTATTACACAAATATAAGTTTATATAGCAAAATATATGTTTGTATAGTATTTTTGGTATATAATAACATAATATTTGGTTTTATTGTCTATAAAAGAAAAAAATATTACATTATGAAACTTATATAAGTAATAGCGGATCGATACTGTTTCGACTTGATTTTAAAAACAATATATTAACCAAATTTAGTTGAAAATTATTCAACTTTTACATAAACAAGAAAACATAATATAAAATATAAAATTCAAGGTTAAATTATTATTTTAAGGAAAAAAAAAATCTTGTAAATTCATATAAAATATACGCGAAATATATGCGCGAAAATGTTTTTTTTTTTTCATATTTAATTATTGATGTTTTTGTGTACATGCGGTTGTGTGTCTATAATTACAACATGTTTAATTTGTGAGTATTAAATAATTGTTAGTTGGCTGAAATGTGCGCCATGCACCAGGCGTGTCACTTTGTAAAAATCTGAGGTATGGAAAATGGTGGCGCGATTTTCAAATTTGTTCGCATTACTCGTGGGGTATTAAGGTTTAAGAGTTTGCAGTGTATATACTCAACTTATTTATTGAACTATAAGATGTGGGGTATTGAGGTTTAAGGGCTTGCGATTTATTTATATGGGGTTTGTAGTAATATGCGATTTATTTCCTAATTTCAGCTATGGAATTCCATACCTTGAAAAACTTGAGGTATGGAGTGCTCCATACCTTCCATAGTGGAAGTGACACCCCTGCCATGCACTGTACTTTATTGTATAAATATAATATTTATAGTCTACTCTGATTACGTTCGTATCTCTAATTTATTTCAACATCTCCTTCCTATTTTTTTTTATTATGTTGAATTTTGAACTTTGATTAATTGATTCTATAGAATACGAAACAATCTTTTATAACTATTCATTATTTTTATAACGTAATTATTATTATTACGTGTATAATATGTACCTATTGCAATAATAATTTATATTATGATTTTATTTTATTTTAAGCCCTATACTCTAAATTATTGCGATTATGGATAAAGTATATTATTTGCTTTATGATTATAACACGTGTATTATATTAGGTATTTATTTAATTATACATGCAGTTATGTGGATCGATCCTATAGGTACTACATGTGCAACTAGTAGGTAGCATTTTGGGTAGCATCCTAGTAAAGAAATGCAAATAACTACCTATCTCACTTTATAGATTTGGTCGGGGATCCCCTTAATACCTTGTATGTAACACATTTTATTTTTTGTCATGTCCTTTTATGATTTAAAATTTTCTCATTTCATTGTACTTAATTTCATACCAGTACGACTACTCCTATTTACTTTGTTTAAATTATTAGGCCTTAAGTTATACATATATGTATTTATATTTTCTTTTATAATTCTCGTATGTACATACTTTCTTTCCTTTCATAATAATTTATTCCTTTTGACCTTTTAGCTAGCTTAATTTGTTTTCGTAATTCTATTCACTTATATATTTATTTATTTATTAGATATCGGGAATCGGAGTATTAATTCACTTCATTTATATTTTATTTCGTGATATTTATCACGCGGGTACTTTATAAATATGGGCCCCCCATTTACTTGGGTATTATATTACATTTTCATAACATTCATTTCATTTTATTGGTACATTAACTTTTTTTTATCATACTATCTCAAGGTAGAACTGTACCTTGGGTTGTGCGCACAACCTTGAGGTCAACTTTTAAGTCATTTTAAAAGGACTCCAACAATTGTCACGGAGGAAAACTAAGTTCACACTATGATCCAATGAAGGATGTGACCCCTATGTACCATTATTAAGGGTAACAAATTTAAGACTTCTCTGGTCCCCAACAGTACGAATATGAGTAAACTCGTTCACATCTCATTTGTACTGAAGGTATTGTTCCCTAGTACCCGTTACTTCCGATTTTATCATCCAATCATGGAAACATACCCTGCTTGAGGACTATATGCTTTACCAGTGATGGACGTTCCCGTATCTCTCCATGATTTATTTATCAAGGTCATTATAATATGTTTTATTTCTATTCTCTTAATAAACCATTTTGCTTCTTTATTTATACATGACCCGTGTTTTTTTTTTTTTTTACATCTTAATATCTGTTTGGGTGTATCGGGTATTTTTATTCACTTGCATGCTCCACTTCCATATACTAATTTGCATTATTCTCGCTCATAATGAGTTCCATACCAAGAGTTTAAGCATTCATCAATATTTGGGTGATCAGTCCAATATTGAGGAAACTTAGCAACTCGATCATTCGTATTCACACTTTCGAACATTCTTTTCTTCCATTCCTCATATCTTTTAATTACATACATTCTAATTTTGTACAAATTGGATAACATTTTTGTCAGTCTATTTTTTTTTTGCCGTTTTTAATTGTTAGGGAACATTATTATTAAACCTCTTAATTATTTTTATTTTATTTTACAGTATTTCATTATTTTCATATTTATGTTACACGTTATTATTATTTATATTTATTATTATCCACGTGTTTACAGGTCATTTCTTATTTATTTTTTGATATTATTATTTTCGTCTTTATTAGAATGTTGTTATGATTTATTTTTATGCACCTGTTCATATATCGCATGTTGCTCTCTATTGTTTTAAGATAAGCTCATTGCATAACATGTCATATTTATAGATATATCATTCATAAGAAAAGTTTAGCATACTTATTATATTCACTGTGTAAAGATTGTTACATTTGAATTTTGAATTGAAATTGAATTTAACTTATCTAGATTAGTTTGGGGTCGTTAAAGAAAAAGTGTTATTTTACTATAAAATATGAAAAAATTAATTTATGATGAACTATAGTAAATTTAAGGACATAAAAATGTAATAAATCACATTATTTCATTAATTTTTGCACGACACAGTTATAAAATAATATAAGACAATAACTGAAAAAAGTGAATATAAAATCGTCTTGTACCTTAATAAAACATGCCACAGAAGTGCATACATAACTTAATTTATAATTATTGCTTTTTAATTATTTTTTCAGATACAGTAATAAAATATTAAAAAATCAATTGAATCGTAAATTATCTGATAATTACTTTCAATTTAAACATAGGTGTATTAAATATAGAATATTTAATACTTAAATTCATAAAATATAATAGCAAAAAGAACATAAAACAATCACAAATTGATAAATAAAGTTTTAGATGGAGATAAAATCACAAAGGTGGGAAGTTACCTCTTAATATCTTCTTTGTACTTTCTGACTCAAATTTCACATTCTTCTGGGCTAAGCTTCCTAGGGTACAACTGCTGTTCCTTTCTTCATTATACTTCTCATAATTATCAATATTAAGTATTTTATTCTTCATATTACCTTTGAAATTTTCATAAAGTTTATCTTTTTAAGTTGATCTTCATTAGTTTATTAAATACTTTCTGTAATTTTCTTAAAAAAAATAGTAATATCAGTCCTTTTCTTATATTCTTATTATTTTTCGTCACGTCCGGTATTGCCGTTAATATTTTTTCATAATTTAATTTAGATTTCTTATAATATTTTTTTTTTCTTTTAAGTAATAGGCCGCGGCGGTGCGCGTGCATTGTCGCAGCGCACCGCCTGGCAGGGTCGCCATGTAATGTCGGAACTCGGAAGGTGCTGAATGAAGGAGACGTGTTGCTTGTACAAGAACTTTAATTATACTCCTCTATTCTATACTTAATACTAATATTATAAATGTATATTGTCGGAGGTAAAGGGGAGTCTACAGGGCACTACTAAGTAGATTTGGCAGTCCCACAAGAGTGCACCCGTTGCAACTCTTGACCAGCATTTCGACATCTTTATCAATCTTTGGCCACCAGACTTTAGCTCTTAAACGTTCCTTCATAGACACGATTCCAGGGTGACCTTCGTGGGCTGCTACTAATACTTGTTTTCTTAATTTATTTGGAATTACAATTTTATTTCCTCTCAAGAGGATGTTGTCATAAAAACAAAGTTCATCTTCAAAAATTTTAAAGGTTTTGACTGACTCGTCCCACTGATTTTTATAGAGACCATTTTTTACGTTTGTTATTTCTAAGTCACTTCCAGATTGTAAAATTATATCTCGCATAGAAATAGCATGCGGTTTTGCTAATTGTACTATTTGACATATATGGTCGTCCCGTATAGGTTGTACATTTGTTTCTTTGCATAGTCGTGATAGTGGATCTGCAATGTTTGTATTTCCTGGCTTATATTTTATCTTATATCTATAGGCCTGTAATTTCAAAACCCATCTTTCAACGCGAGCACACGGCTTTGACTTGGGACTAAATAGGAATTCCAATGGCTTATGGTCAGTAATTAAATCGAATTCTTTCCCAAAAAGAAACGTGTTAAAATGCTCGACAGCCCAAACAAGAGCAAGGGCTTCCTTCTCTGTTTGGCTGTATTTCCGTTCACAATCTGTTAATGTCCGATTTCCATAGCCAATGATTCTGGGGCCCCTTTCATCAATTTGTACCAAAACAGCTCCTAATCCCACAGGGCTTGCATCCGCTATAACTTGGGTCTTGTCTTTGACGTCATAATATCCTAATGTTTCTATTTTTGTTAATTTCTCTTTGAGACACTTAAACGCATGATCCTGTTTCTTTGTCCAGTATTTTTCTATGTTAGCCTTTTTTCCTAATTTTATCCTAAGTAATTCTCTTAACGGTTCATTAATTGTAGCTAGTTTAGGAATCCATTTATTTATGTAATTTACTAATCCAAGAAAACTTTGTAACTCTTCAATTGTGTTTGGTACTCTAAATTCTTGTATGCTTTTGATATATTTAGGTAGAGGTGTTACCCCTTCTGGTGTTAATTCGTGTCCTAGAAATTTGACCTTTTGCACTTTATATAAGCATTTATCTTTATTGAGCAGGACATTATTTTCATTTAAAACATCCAATACTTGTGATAGTCGCAAATCATGTTCTTCTCCACTGCTGCCCCATATTAAAATATCGTCAATGAAATTGATTACCCCTTCACATTTGATTATCATTTTTTCCAAGATTTTTTGGAACAGCTCTGGTGCACATGAAACTCCAAACATAAGTCTTTTATATCTGTAAAGTCCACTAGAAGTTACAAAAGTTGTTAAATATCTGGAGTTAGGATGCAGCTCAACTTGATGGAAAGCATTTTTTATATCTAGTTTGGAAAAATACTTTGCTTTTCTTATTTTCGGCAGCAAGTGGTCCATACTAGGCAATGTGTGATTTTCTCTGAGAATTGCTGTATTAGCTCGCCTCATATCGACACAGAGACGTATATCTCCATTATCTTTTAATATTGGTACAATAGGCGATACCCATGAAGATGGTTCATCTACTTCTTCAATAATATCGGCATCTAATAACTCCTTTATCTTCCTTTTTATATTTTCCTCGATAGGAATAGGTATTCTACGATAGGGCTGTATTACCGGTTTTATGGATTTATTTATCGGAATCTCCACTAAAATACCTTTAAACTTTGGAAACTGCTTGCTTAGTTCCTGATCAACGTGGTTAATACTAACGCCTACTTTTAAAACTCCTAATCGTATCGCTGAATCCTTTCCTAACAAATTCCTGGATCCGTTTTTTATGACATAAATAGAGCAGGGGTCAGTTTTTCCATTCGTTTTAATTTCAGTTTCGAACGAACCTTTTACATCTAAAGGTATACTACTGCCATAGGCTAGTAATATTTTATTTGGTTTCTTAGTTTGATTTTTACAACTAACTTTATGTATTTTCAAATATTCCCATGCTTTATCCGTTATTAAATTTGATTTACACCCTGAGTCGATCAGCATATGAAGCTCGACGCCACCTACATCACACTTTATGGTTGCATCGTCATTTACATTAAAGATATACTGAGAATCATCGTCTTCTAAAGTGTTGACTGAAGAGTCCTTACGGGGCCTTTTATTTCTATTATTTCTTATGTCTTCTTCTTGCTCGTGTTCTATTTTCCTTTTAAATCTATTTAACTTTGTTTTACAGCATCTTTGATAGTGTCCCACTTTTCCACACCCGTGACATTTTTTTTCTTTGGCTGGACATTTTGGGTCCTGAATATTGTGCGTTGCTTTTCCGCATCTTCCACACTTAAAATTTCCTGACCTCATTTCAGTTTTTCCCCATTTCGAAGTATCCTTGCTCTTACTCGTGACTGAATTTATCTCGCTGATCTTTTCTTTCCGTTCATAGCTTTCTAGTTGATGATTTACTGCCTCTAATGTTTTGCTTCTATAACTACCTTGTCTAATGTCACATCATCCCCCATCGTTAAAATCTTTTTCCTGAGCTCTACCGATGCACATCTTTCTATTATTTGATCGATAATGTAGTCATCAGGCTTATCAAATTTGCATTTTTTAGCTTGATCTCTCAATTTTAAAAGAAACTTTTCAAAATTTTCACCGTCTTCTTGTTTAATCGAACGAAAAATATGTCTCTCATAAGTTTTATTTTGTTTAGGGAGGAAATAGTTATCGAGCTGTTTTAGGGCTAATTCAAAATTATCTACTCCCTCCTGCACTGCACTGGTATCTGGCAAGTTGTAAAATATATCCTGAAGCCCGGTTCCGCCTAACAATAACAAAGTTGCTCTCTTTTTTATTGGGCATTGTATATCGGCTGCTTCGAGATAAATCTTTAAAGACCTTTTCCATTTCTCCCATCGCAAGCCTACTAACGTGCTGTCTCCCTCGAGTTCTAATTTTTCCGGTGACGGTAATAAATTTGACATTTCGAATCCTTGGCAACCGTTTTTCTCCTCGTCGCCACTTGTAGAACTTATATAGTATAATATTCACAATACGTATCACTGGCTCACTATCACACCAAGTCTCCCTAGGTACACGTCCTACCTCGGTGCGCTCCACAACGCAACTCTCCGCCGCAACTCCGTGCAACCACCGAGTAACGTGCTACCCCCACTACTTGTGTATATGAGACAGTGTATTGAATCTATTAAATAGATACAAACACTACACTGTGCAAACCGAAAAACGCAACTTCTCAATTATATGGCAATGTGTAATAAAAAAACTTTATCTCAGTCCCAAATAGCGACATCTGGTGAGCGGGAAATTATTAGCCCTCATTAGTGGAAATATTCCCCCTATATGATAATCAATGGGAAGGCCTATTTTAACCTTTAAATTTTGATTGGCGGTATTTGATGAAAGAATGAAAAATATAATACCCGAACAATCGGCTTAATATCCTCAGGGTAATGGTATTTTGTACAAAACTGTAAATAACTCTAGAGTATAATGATTTTTTATATTTACGCGAACATTACATATTGAATAAAACTATTTTCACGCATTTTGTCGCACTGACGTTTAGGGCGCTTTACAACAGCATAATTTTATACATGGTGGAGCCATACTTTAGCTATATTAGTAGTATAGTTGTAGCACAAATGGGTCGGCTCGACCGGGGAAGGACCACGCTCTCACAGAATTCCAGCGTAAAATAGCATCTTAACACTGCTGTGTTTCGTATGGTGAGTGTAGAGAACCGGAGACTTTTTTTACTGGAAAAGAGGCATTCCATCTTAGTCTTCACGGGTAACAACGCATCTGCATTTTGATTCGTAAACGAGGATGAATGTAGATGTCTATGGGCCACAGCAACCACTTACCATCACGAGCACTGTGTGCTCGTTTGACATCCTATCCAAAAAAAACCATGGTCACGGGAGTTTAATTTTGTTAATTATAGGATTCCGGGCAGATAGCAGCACCCATCCATCTTCTCTATTGCAATTGGGTTTCTGTAAAGCACCCGAAACGCAATAAAATCCGTAAAAATTGTTTTATCAACTCTAGAGTATAATTGTTTAATAATGAAAAATGTAATTAATAAAAGAGTTTCCCTTAACTCTTTTATTAATTACATTTTTCTTTAAGAGTTTCATTATGAAAATAGATTATACGGACGGAGATCATTCCAATATTAACTTACCTTATATTTTTGGATTCAACCCTGATTATGTCTGTTTCTTGCCACTGCTCCTTTCTAAACAGGCACAATAAGATTCCCTTGATGAGGGCCAGGGACGTACGAAAGTTATTAAAGACTGGATACGGTATCTGACTTCTAAAGCAACTTTGATCGACGTCAGTTTTATTATGTTAGGTATCGATATCATAGTATGCAGTTCAAACAGTTAATAGATTTTTCTTTTTAGATAATTTGATATTTAATAGAATCCAAAGATTTAAGGAAATTATTCATATATTATGTGAGGTGTAAAGAATATTTGGGTAAGATATCATAAGATATGTTTCTGTGTTTTTAGAATTAAGGTGACAATCGAGCACATAGTTCACCTGATGGTAAGTGGATGTGGCCTATGGATATCTACTTGATTAAGAATTAAAATGCAGATGCGTTGTCACCCCTGAGAACTAAGATGAAATGCCTCGTTTCCAGTAGAAAAGTGTCTCTGGTCTCTACAGTTACGAAGCAGAGTGAGATCGTGGTTTTCGCCCGGTTGATTCGACCCATTCGTGCTACAACTATATAGCTACTTGCAAAGCACGACTCTACATGCCTTACTTAATTTAAAGAATACATCCCTTCCCTTTATAATTTCGTACATTTTTAACATCACTACATTTACATTATCTCATCATCATCCTCATTACAGCCTTTCATAAGTCCACTGCTGAACTTAGGCCTACCCCAAGGAATGTCACAAAGCACGGTCCTGAGCCACCTGCATCCATCGACTTCCTGCATATCTTACCAGGTCGTCACTTCATCTCGTGGGGGGTCGCCCTACACTTCGCCTACCGGTACGAGGCTGCCACTCAAGAACCTTTCTTCCCCATCGGTTGTCGGTTCTTCGAGCTATATGGCCGGTCCACTGCCACTTCAGCTTACTAATCTGTTGGGCTATGTCGGTTACTCTGGTTCTACTGCGGATACATTTCTAAGTTTATCACGCAGAGAAACCTCGAGCATAGCCCTCTCAATAGCTTGCTGAGCGACTTTGAGCTTCTACATACGGTTAGCAGTGAAGGACCACGTCTCAGATCCTTAAGACATCACTGGCAACAAGCACTGGTTGAAAAATTTCGTTTTAAGGTTTTGAGTATATCTGACGAGAAGATGTGTCGTAGTTTCCCGAACGCTGCCCAGCCGAGTTGCATCCGTCGATTGACCTCTCGGTCAAAGATGGACTTACCTAGTCGGACTATTTGTCCCAGGTAAACATACTCGTCAACAACTTCGGGCTTAGTGCTCCCAACAACTACCGACATAGGTGTGACATGGAAATTAAACATGATCTTTGTTTTGTCCATGTTCATCCTAAGACCTATTCGTTGGGAGACACTATTGAGGTAATAATTGAGCATGGTGCTTATGTCCTCCAGCGATTCTGCCATAAGGACTTCCAAGGCAGCGGTGAAGAGTTTCGGGGATATAACATCACCATGTCTTACACCTGGATAGGTTTCGTACTCTGGTTCTGTACTCGGATAGCCATTGTAGCTCTACTGTACAAACACTCCAGCACTTCAATATACCGACAGTCAACTTGCACCGCTAAAGGGACTGCAGCACCGCCCAAATTTCGACGGAATCAAAGGCTTTCTCATAGTCCACATACGCCAGATATAATGGCAAATTGTACTCCTCTGACTATGTGGTCTATGGTGCTAAAGCCTTTTCGGAAACCGGCTTGTTCCGGAGGCCAGAAGTTGTCAAGTCTGCGCACGAGACGATTCGTAATGACTCTCGAAAACAGCACGTAGACGTGGCTCAGATAGAAAATCGGTCTGTAGTTCTTCAAGAGAGCGTTGTCGCCTTTATTGAAGAACAAGACCCCCGCACTTCTGCTCCACGCCAACGGTGTAGTGCCACCATGGAGGCCGGAATTAAAGAGCTTCTAAAGGACTTCAAGTACCGGTCTTCCACCCGCTTTCAGAAGCTCTGATGTAATTCTATCCTCGCCTGGGGCCTTGCCGAATTTAAGGTGCTAGAAAGCCATTCTAAACTCGCTCAGACTAACGTCCGGGATATCTTCGGAATAGTGTCGGATAAGACTCGCTCTTGGATCGTTACTCACACTTGCATGTGGCTCCAACGATGACGTATAAAGCTGCCCATAGAATCTCTCAATCTCACTCAAAATCTCAGGTGCCCCGGAAACGATGCTGCCACACTCGGTCTTCAGCTTCGACAGTTGGCTCTTTCTGGATGACAGATCTCTGGCAAAGACTTTGGAGCCTTGGTTCCTCTCGATCGTTTCTTCAATACAAGCTGTTATGAAGTTGCGCAAGTCCCGCCGCATGTATTTGGAGATCTGTCTGTTCAGTTGCCTGTATGCTGTCAAATCTGTTGAAGAATGTAGCTTCATCTCCCGTCTAACAGCCATGAGATTAAGAGTGTGATCGGAGAGTTTGTGTGTTCTTCTGCGGCCGGTCTTGAAGAACTTAGCTCCGACTGCATGGACAGTTTCCAAAAGCTTGTCACTCATATCGTTCACTTCATTGCAGTCTTCCAGGCACTGAAAACAGTTTTCTAACTCGAGCTGAAAGGTATCGGGACTTTGGAACAGAGCACGAGGGGGACGGAGCGATGACTTCATTAGACGAGACCTCTCCAAATTAACGTATAGGTTCAGTGTGCCTCGAACCATTCGATGATCGCTGCCGGTTTTCACCCTCGCGATCACTGAGACATCACTGAACAGTTGTCGTCTGGTCGTCATAATGAAGTCAATCTCATTTTTTGTGGAACCGTCGGGGCTAGACCAGGTCCACTTCCTGTGGGGCCGCTTCTGGAA